GCCAAGGTAATAAGAGATCCTTGTATTAACTTTACCCAAATATCTTCCTAGCTACAAAATGGAAGAGTATTCGCTACTGGCAGAATGAAGCCTTTCATTGCTAGTGTCTGCATTTTCCAGCTCTGGTAAACTGGGGGGTGGGAGATACTTGGACGTATTCCCTGGTATAATTGTATTTTATTGGAAGAGAAAGTGCTTGATTTGAGTAAAATGTGGTCAGTCAGAAACTGATTTTGCCAGAGTAGGAAAAAATTCAGTGTTAAATGATACTCTGATCCCCATGGACAATTTGAGATAAAGACTTTAACTTCTGGAGATGTAAGAAGGGGCCAATGGGCCTTATGGCTGAGGTTTTTATGTTTCTTTAACCTTGCATTAATGCAAGAGCTAAGGCATGTTTTCTTATGTATGTTTTTTTTCTTTATTGAGATATTCTGACTGTACCTTAAAAAGGATATTAGGCAAAAAGGTAGATTGGCCAACTTGATCAATTTGAAGGCATCAAAGTAATATAAGCAGTGAAATGAAAAGAGCAGTGCCTTTAAATATTTGTAGTCCTAGTTCAACCCAGATTTAGGAATAAACAATGGCCTTTGGAAGGTTATTTGCCATCTCGAGCCTCAATTCTTCATCTGAAAATTTAAGAAAGTGAACGAAATCAGCGATTCTCTTTGTCTATGTCTTCCCCACACTCATGAAGTTTGTAAACTGGAGCCACGTAAATTTTCAGTGGCCTGACTTTAATTATATCCCTTTCTTTCCTTCTCAGAAAGGCATATTAGAAGGCATGCAAGAGAAAGGAGCTGTATTTTCACACACACACACAAAACCTTGCAGTGATCCCACTGATGTGAAAAAACTCACAAATTATTTCCAAATTTATTCTTATTAACAATAACAATAATAATGTATTAATAAAAGTTTACTTGAAACCCTCCTCACCGTTGCCACATACCCATATGTGATATAAATTATTGATAGAGACAGGAGGCAGCCAAGGGACCCCCACCCCGCAACCCCCAGCAAAATCCCAACTTCAAGCCTAAAACAGCCTGTAGGCTGAAAAACAGGACTGCCTGTCCTGGATGAGACCCGCCCTTTCCCCTCACTCCCCTGACTGATTCTTTCTGAATAATGCCCACCTTCACACTGGGAGGACAGGGTGGGGCCTTGGGGAAGTTGGCACTGCAGCGGTTGGAGATGGGAGGAGCCGGGCCTCTCCTGTTCCGGTGTGGTAACCTGGTATTCAGTCTGTGAGATGGGGGCCTGTTAACAGGAACCCCTCTGGCTTTGCTGAGTTTTTTCCTTTTCACCCAATAAATTCCGCTCCCCCTCACCCTTCAAAGTGTCTGTGAGTCTAACTTTTCCTGGTCGTGTGAAAAGAACTCAGTTTTTTCTACAACGTTATTATCGATCACTGAATGACTAGTCGTTTCTAAGATACCTTAGATCATTAATAGTCTAAAATTGTGAAACTTCTCCTTATCTGAAAATTGAAGAATTCAGATAAAGGCTAACTTTCTGCAGACCTACTATTAAAGGTCTGGAAACCTGAAACTGCCAAAAATCAGTGGCTTATTTTATCTAAGTTAAATTACTAAATTACTAAAAATAGACTAGGAAACAAATTCCCCTGTTGGCCAAGGAAAACATCATGACCTCATTCAACTTTTGGTCCCATCTCTTATATGATTTTCTGAAGTGAAGTGATTTTTTTTTTTTTTTTTTTTGAGACAGAGTCTTACTCTGTCACCCAGGCTGGAGTGCATTGGTGCGATCTCAGCTCACTGCAACCTCCACCTCCCAGGTTCAAGTGATTCTTCTGCTTCAACCTCCTGAGTAGCTGGGACTACAGGTGCATGCCACCAGGCCCAGTTTGTTTTTTTTTTTTTTGGTATTTTTATTAGAGACAGGGTTTCGCCATGCTGGCCAAACTAGTCTCGAACTCCTGACCTCAGGTGATCCACCCACCTCGGCCTCCCAAAGTGCAGGGATTACAGGCGTAAGCCACTGCGCCCAGCTGAAGTGATGTTTTTAAAAGGCATTCATTTTAAGTTTTGACATTGTGAATAATCAAAGTCCACTGTTTTCTCTCCTCTATTCGAGAACATGAATGTCTTATAATCACATTGTCTGGATGTCCACGTGCGTATGGATGGGCAAGTGTGAGAGACGGGGGAACATAATGAGTTATGTGAGCCCTTATAGAGGTCTGGAATGAAATACCTGAGAACTCGTCACCTCTGGCTTCAATCCATAACCTCCACAGAATTGGGTGGCTTAGCTCAATATTCTCTGAAGAAATTTCTATTTGTGAGATGAAATGGAACTGCACTTACAAATTAGTCTTTTCTGATCAAGAGATTTTTTTTTTTTAGTGGTTTCTTAAAAAGCTCTCAATGGTTTCCTTAATAGGCAACAAATCACAGGACATTCTCTATTATCCAAACACAGCAAGGCTTTATTTAGAGCTTTGTTTACGACATGGAAAGCCTGTGAATTGGGTTTTTTCAGCAGTCTTGGTTTCTGATCCTATCGATTTTGTTTAAAAAAATTTAACTGACTCAAAGTGATTGATCCAGGGGCTGTGTGGATGGTTTCAGCCTCATTTAAGCTATTATTTTATCATGTCCATGGCGATATGACTGCTCACTTCAAAACTGCGATTCCTATTTTGTGGCACTATCACACTCTAACCACATATTTCCTATTACTCTGGAGTGTAAACTCACGTGGTATGTTACATAATAAGGGCCCTCCACCTTTCCCAAGAGATGTGGGAGAAAAAAATCACTTAAATCCCCGTGAAAGGCTGAAAATCAAAGTAAAAATACAGAACCGTCAGAGCTGACAGGGAGTTTTTCTCTGTTGTTGAGGGCTTTGTCAAAGGTTATAGGTCTTGTTGGAGATGAGAAACTCTGAATTTATCTAGCCGATAAGGTAGTGCAACTAACCAATAGAGTAGGAAAGAAAAATACCTACGCCACGTGAGAATGCATGTCGAAACCATGTCAACATTATCTCATTTTTCAATTGAGACTCACGCTATTGAGTTTCTAACAACATGGGTGACTCGAGGCTTTCACACTTTCAAATAGAAAGTTTGGATTTGGGCTGATTTAGCCATACTTTTGCCCCAGCCCCCATTCACTGTGAGAAATAGCTGGCCAGGATTTTCGGAAATGTAGTCTGGCTACTGGATATAGACAGTAGTGTATCAGTAAATACAAAAAAAAAAAAAAATCCAACTATTTTGAAGAGGTTTTACTTGCAAAATTTAATCCGTAATAATTATTTTAAAAATCAATTATCACTATAATTATCAAAGAACAGTATAAGTTTAAGTTCCAGGCTTTGGTTATTCATTCAGTTGGGTGTTTTCAACTCAGTGATGATTCCTTGTTAAAAACTGTAGAATAAAATTTCATCATCTTTTTTATCTGATATAACTCAGTGTAATGGAATACTAAAATAAATAATGAACATTGGTCTGTCACTTTTTAGGTTTCATGTACATTATCTCACTGATTATCACTAGACTATGAATTCATGTAGCTGGAGTGAAGTGTGTTTTTACGTTATTTACCACTGTATCTCCAACTCCTTGATAGGGCATGGCACAAAGTAGATGTTCAATTAATATTTGTTGAATGAATGATTGAACTACCCTGCAATGTAGTCAGAACAGGTATTATCCTTTTTTCCGTTTTATAGGTGAAACAACACTGCAGAAAAGTTTAGTGACTTGTTCAACGCCATATAGCCAGCAAGGGTGGTGCTAGGCCTTGAACCTGGTTCTTTAGACTTTTCCCCAGGTTGTTATCTGATCTAACTCTGGCACTAATTGCTAAACTCCATAATCATTCTGGGCTTTTTTTTACCTTATACTTAAAACTGGAGAAGTGAAACAATTTCAATTGAATATTTGAGCTGTCTAAGAAATAAAAATCACAATTCCTCCCAAAATAAAATAAGAGAGGGCATTATTTCATGGTTCTGAGGTCTCATCTAGGTCTAATATTATGGGCTTAATTTACAATATTATTTACAGTATCATTCTGACTTCTGAGAGCCTTATAGTCACTAAAGAAGTAGTGCTAATGGTGGAGTCCAGAGAACCTAGAACTATCAGCTGGTCCAGAGAAGGGATGCCCAGGGCCACTATCACAGGTCCACTTCCTAATAATAAAAGAAAACTTCAGACCAAACGCTTCTTCCTTAAGGAAGTCAGGGAGGTTGCTTTAGGTTATAAAGAGGCTCTGAAGAAATTCTATTTCATTATTAACGTGAAACTGTTCTAGAAGCTTTCTGGTAGTGATGTCTCCACCTGATGGCCTTGTTTACCCAGCTAACTCATGTCCCATGTTCCCTTCCCCTTTCCCTTCCCCACCGACACACCACACCATCTTCAACCACATGCGCAATGGTTGTAGGCAGGATGTAAACTTTTATAATGAATTCATTGGAGACAATCTGCTTTACACACGCCAGCAAGAATTTCAGGGATGGTTTTCAAACTTGTATTTTATTTAAAAATGTCATTATCCCCATCACATATAAGACTTCTTTGCAGCAGCTTTGTCAGTATTTATTAGTTGCTACTTGGAGTCTGTTTTTTCAAAGGAATGGATTAGTCTCAACACCTTAGAGTGATATATTGTTCTCTAGCAAGCCCAAATACAAGCGGAAGGCCCTGTGTAAATTACTTCCCCTAATTTCCTTCAGCCACTTGCTTGTTTAGAATGTACACAAAGGAAAGATGTCAAGAACGTTTAGTCTATTATACCCGCCATGGGCGGCTTCCCCTACAGCACACGGTGAAATCTGATTACAGAAGGACTGAGAAATGAAAGTTCCGCTGGAATTAGAGGCAGCTGTCTCAGATGAGAGTAAAGCAGAGCGTGGCACTACACTCTGCGGAAAGAGGCCTTACTGCAGAATAGAATTGTATGCATCACCATGATTCCTAAATCAAACCCAAATCTCTGACCATCACTTACCGAAAATTTCGAACCACGAAGCTGTGACCATTTCTAAAAGCTGCATTGTTCAACAGGATCCTCAGATTAAACAGCATCTTCTTTTAATAGTGAAAAGGATAATTCTATGCTCTTGAAAACTCCACAGCAAGTTAGCCAGTGGGGGCCACCTAAAAACTAAGAAATGTGTTCAGTTGCAGTGAGGGAGCAAAGGTAATATCAGCCTTCAGCTTCCTTATCAAAGTCCCCTGGTTAGAGATACTGCAGGGCAGGGTGCAGGAGCATTTGAACTTCATGCCAAACTCCACCACTGTGTATTTTTTTGGGGGGGGAAGAAATCCTGACTCTTTTATTGCCTGGCCTCCTCATTTTTCATAATATATTTATACTGTCACATGCATGTACAAAATCAATTGACAAGTACTCATTGAGCATATAATATATGCAAGGCACTGCAGTACTGGCTGCTGTGAAGATGCGTAGAAGTAACTCACTCAGAAAATGCAAACTGGCATTGCAAAAACACAGATGTAGATGTGACAGCCCTGAGTAGTACTATTTCCATTTATTTCACTTTTCTATCTCTAATTGCCAGTCTTTCCACAAAAACAAATACGAGTGCCCTGGAAGCTATTTTGGGGGTACAAGAAGATAGAGAAGGTATAGTAAAAAATATCTCAGTCCTGGAGCTTCCTTTGTGCCTTGCACATAAGTCTTCAATAAAGAAATAATTGCTGGCCAGGCGTGGTGGCTCATGCCTATAATACCAACACTTTGGGAGGCTGAGGCGGGCGGATCACTTGAGCCCAGGAGTTTCAGACCAGCCTGGCCAACATAGTGAATCCCCGTCTCCACTAAAAATACAAAAATTAGCTAGGCATGGTGGTGCACACCTGTAATCCCAGCTATTTGGGAGGCTGAGGCATGACAGTTGCTTGAACCCGGGAGACAGAGGTTGCAGTGAGCCCAGATTGCACCACCGTACTCCAGCCTGGGTGACAGAGTGAGACTCTGTCTCAATAAAAAGACAGAAAGAAAAAGAAAAGAAATAGTTGCCTATTGATTCTAACAGGAGCCCACAGTCAGTACAAGTGGTAAGTGGGGATACCATATACTCCTCCCCTAGCAGCCTATTCAGATCACTAGGGGGCCATCTGCAACTTCACATTTATTCATTCATTTATCCTCAGTTATAAATCAGATGATTTGAAGTCAATTCTGTATCAGATACCGGGCTACACTGAAGTTTCAGAGAGGGAAGATGACATCACCTTTGCAGAGTTCACAGTTCAGTAAAGGTAGTATGATTTATAAACAAATATCCATAATACAAGCCTGTAGGAGAGGTCCAGACAAAATTGTCCAGCTTCATCGAAGCGGGAAACCTCTAAGGTAGGAAAGGTAGGAGGAAGGAGAGGAGAGGTAGGGGTAGGGCTGCCTCTTCTGGTCAATTTATATGACTTTAGCAAACCCAAGTAAATATTTGCCAGAAGTTTGTGGGATTCCAAAAAGTGTTAATTAAAAACCAACTATGGCCACCTCAGGAGCCGAGATGTTTGTGATGTCATAATTAATACTAGTAGACAAATAAATATTGACACCATTTCCTATGATGTGAGATGAAGTGAGGGGAAAGACTGACATTTCCAAACCTCTACCAAATCTTCCGTTCTGGAAAGGATATTCCAGGCAGAAGCAACTGCTTGCAAAGGCACAGAGGTGAGAAGGGAGAGAGTGACTTTGAAAACATAATAAAGCATCTCTGAAGAGGCAAACAAGGCCAGTTATTGAATAGATTTCAGAGAGCAAAAGTGCTCCACATAATAGAGAAGTGAAATAGAATGTTTGCATGGAGCCTGAGGGAGATGAGGCCAAACCACAGGCTGATATAAAGCCCATAGCTTGACCCCGTATCTTCACTGAACTGTGCTAGTCATACACACAACTCATATTGGTAATGCTTGGGGAGAAATCAAGAAGTGTCTGCAGTTCCATGCTAGAGAGTACAGGCAGCATTTTGAGATGCCAAAGCAATTCACAAACCCTCCTAATGCTACGGATGCAGGAGCTCAAAGCCAGAGGGAACTAAGAAAAAGTTAAGACACCAATAACTCCCAGAGAAATTGGAAAAGGGGAGCTGCACCACAAGTGGGATGAAGTTAAAAGCAATTTCACTGAATCTCAAAAGGCAGGACATCTCAATGGACTTGTTGAGGGGTAGATTTCAACTACCCATCTTCCGCTGATTGTGTCATATGTGGAGTCTGTGTTACTTTACAGGCTTTGATGTTCATCCTCAGAATTCATCCAGGGGCTCTTGTTGACCCCATGATTCCTCTAATTCAATTTTAACTTTCTTGTTTGGATACGTATCTAGTTCTCTTTGTTCACCTAGACTTTCATTCATCCAGTTTTCTCTGCCACCATCAACAATTGTGCAGCCATCATAAGCCAATCCTCTGTGCTGTGTGGGTTCTGAGAGACAGAGTGATAAAACAGGAATGATGAGTTCCTTCCAATATTCACCATTTGGAATGACTCCAGAATACAATTTCTGTCTCTGCTCTCTGACCCCAAACATCTTAACCAGGGAGAGGGGATTGTTACCTGCTCCCTTGCTTCAAGCCACAGGAGACCTCCAGCTTGACTTGACCATCATCCAGCTTGTATCATCAGGGGGTGGGGATTAGATGGGATTCCTGAAAAAGGTGGCACTGATTTTTTATGAATTGCAAGAATCAGAAAATAGTCAAAACTAGAGGGAGCTACAAAAGATATTGTAGCAAAAAAAGGAACCTGTGAGTAGACCCAAAGGAAGGAACAAATAGAGTGTGTAGGGTAACAACAAATGATACATAACTGGAAAAATACATTCCATCATTGGCCATTGAAATGAAGCCCCACCACCACCAAGCATGCTATGAAAACAAAAAACCATGAGTGTCTGTATCTTGTTTATATCCCCTTGGCATTCGGTCTTCCCCTACACACCTGCTGCTTCTTAATGCAAATACCCACTGCTGTTTTCTTCAGGATAAACTTCTCATATTCCTCACTCTTCATGTGGGTGGCTTAGTCCATTTTGTGTTGCTGTAATAAAATACCACAGACTGGGTAATTTATAAAGAAAAGTTGATTTGGCTTACAGTTCTGGAGCTGGGAAGTCCAACAGAATGGTTCTGGCGTCTGCAGAGGGTCTTTGCGCATTGCCGTCCCATGGCAGAAGGTAGAAGGGCAAGAGAGGGTGAGAGTGACAGACAGAGAGGATTGAACTTGCTTTTATAACAACCTATTCTCTCAATAACAAACCCACTCCTGTGATAACCACATTAATCTATTCATGAGGACAGAGCCTTCATGTTCTAAACATCTCTTAACAGTCCCACCTCTTACTACCATCACAAAGCCACTTAAATTTCAACATAAGCTTTTCAGGTGACATTCAAACCATAGCAGTGGCAACTATGAAGCATATTCTACATGCTCCCCAAAAGGTCCCCAGTGGAATTGAACCTCAATTGCCCACAGTAATAACCTGCTCATCAATCTACCCTGTATTAGCCACCTTCCCTTCCGTGTCTCATTTCCCTCACTACCCTACTAGTGCTTACTGGGCCTACCTCCCAAATCAACTACTTGAACCCAAATCCCTTTCTCGGTGTCTGCTTCTATGGAAACTCAACTTTTGCCCAGATCTGCCTTCTCAACAGTTTTGCAACACAGCTTTTGTTCTTTTCCCCCTGGCCCCCCATCTTTGAGTTGGTACCTAGGTTTTCTGTGTCAACAACTTGGTCCCCAATACCATATTGCACCCTCACTCTCAAGTTCAGTCCCAGTTAACCTGTAAATAGTGGTATGCCGGTAAATGTTTAATAACTAGCTCTTCAAACAAACAAAAAAATAAGCTCTGAATTGTAGCAGTCTGACTTGTAAGGTGTAAATATTCCCACCACAGCCAATTTCAAGCTACTAATGTGACATCAATGAACACAGAGATGAAGAGAGAGGTATAAAAATAGTTCTTGCAAGCTCCTGTGAGCTGGCTCCTGTATACCACTGTCTAGTACTCCCATCCAGAAAGGAGGGTTGTCTCAAGGTTTGGAACAAAATATTGAAGCCAGATTGCTGAGGGCCTTGAAAGCCAGATTATAGAGTTGAGAATTTAATCTGTAGTCAAAGGAAGATTATTACAGTTTTGGAGCTGGGGCAGACAAGAAGACATATGTCATTATTTGCTTTGGGTTTTGAAACCATTAACCTGGGGCCATTGTGTGAGAAGTACAATACGAAGAAAATAGAGGCAAAGAGACAAAGAGGTTATTGTGTGACAAATATAAGGCCTGAACACATATTAGAGCTGTGGAAATCGAAAACAGGAGATGGATGCAAGAGAGATTTAGACATTAGAATTTGCCCATCAGGAAAATTGATTGGATGTTGAGAGAAGGGAGATGAAGAAGCTAATGAGACACTAGGATTTCACATTTATCCTATTACTGAGAATAAAATTCCAAATAGCCAAATGTTGCTATTGGGGATATAAAGAATGTTAGTTCTCTGACATTTTGAGCTTTTAAGTATCTGTATAAACTTGAAATATTTCTTTGAAATTGCCAGTGTGCTTCCCTAGTGAAATCCAAGCACTGAAGAGGGAATCAATGTGATATAAAGGAAAGAATGATGGGAATGATGTTTGAAGATCAGATGTGACCTCTGGCTCAGTCACTCGCTCATGGTGAATTTGGCTAAGTCATTCAGTACCCTCAGAGTCCTCACCTGTCCTACTAAATAAAACGAGTTATTATAGCGCTGTGGGAATTTTAACATGCTAATCAAACATGAGGTATAGTGTCTTAGAGCCCGGGCATAGATAGTTATTATCAAAAAAATACTGCAAATGTGAGATCCATACAAAAAAAGACAGATGGCGATTACTGTAGTGCGAAGTTCTGATTTGTTTCAGTGTTACTAGTTACATAAATAATTTTTATAGCTGGTTGCCTAGAATCTTTAAGATCCTAAGAAGCCATGGCATTTGCATGCAGTACACACTAGTTAAGTCTTCCGAGTTCTGTGGGATTGTTGCTGGTGAGCTATTTTCCACTGGATATGGACAAAGAAGCTTGTATCCTTGTCTGAGACCAGTAGCCACCCTATGACAATGAGGGGAGGTAGCCTTAGAAGGAAGCTGTGGTTGACTGAGTGGAAGAAGGAAGGAGTCTTAGTCATTTAGGACATCACTGAGTTGCAAAATTAACCAGCCTCATGAGCCTCCCTACCACTTGCCACTTCATTATGTGAAATAGCAAATG